AACCTTGCACAATTAGACCTAACATACACCTCTCATACCCGCTCTCCCATAAAATAAAAACACTATATTTATGCAGTATTTTATATTATGTATTATAATACAAGTGACTCTATAGAATACATACATTGTTTGCTGAAAAATGAACTATAAATGTTACTTTCATTCATTCATGGTTACGTATTTTAGTAACCATGTTTCAGTAGTGTGAATTTCAATTTGTTAGGTATAACATCATTGAGATGAATTGAGCTGTTTCACTACTCGTCGAATACAATTATCAGAGTGCCGTAGAAGTGACTGCAATGACTTTTTATCGAACGTACTACACATTCTATTCACACGTCACTCAGCTTAGGGTGTTCTCGGTGAATTTGATAAAAATGCTCGTAGACTGGAACGGCGCTGCCATGATCTTCATTTTAAATTATTCAAAAAAGAATAGACGCCAAGTAAAAAATGGTGTCTGTGTGATATGGAAACGCATATTTAGACCTTACAACGTAGACAGCTCAACAACCGCTGAATACCACGAAATGCGCTACACAGTACAGGTCAACACAGGGGTCAATTGTGTTTGAAGTAAAGACTGGCAACTTAGGTTTATGTACTCAATACATTTGATATGCAGATTGCACTACCACAATTCAGAAACTGTGTGCGTTGGTGTGCTAGATGTCTGAATATCCTTTTTGCCCTTTGACCTTAATTCATGGCAACCGCCTTAAGGTACCAACAGAGGAAATCCCGTCGTTTAGTTAAAATGATATGAGCAGCTCAAATCAAAACATATTTATAGCAAACTGTATATTTTATAAAAGCTGAAATATAAAGGAATTTGATAATTCATCTTTTGCAAAGATTGTCTACATGAGAGTCATGTGACAGGGGATTAACTGGTCGCTGTCAAAATAACAAATCAAATTTTCTGCTCCGGCGATTTAACTATTTGATTAGGAATTTTCAGAATAATGTCGCCGTGAAAGGTTCTTATAAAGTGTCGATGAACGTTTGTATGTGATTATTTTTCTAATGATTACCATAAATACTAATTATTTCTTTAAAAAGATAATCTCGAATGAAGCCCAGGGTTATAAACAAGAACAAATAGAAGCAAAATTCTCCCTGCTTGTATTTAGGATTGTTTTAATTTGTTTTATTTGTTGCTTTTCAGCAATTTGTACCACTAAAGGTAAATGAATCTCACATTATCTGCGGTTATCTCTTGCATACAAAATTATGTATAGGTTTCACCTTGTACTTTTTCAAACGTGAAATTATTCACTTTAGTTTATACTAGAATTAAACCTGTAATTTATTCTTACTTTAGTTTTGATTTGCACATAATCCAGAATTATTATTTTAGTATTTAACCTATGACAAACCATGTTATGCTGGGTAACGTTTTATTTTTACTGTAACGACAGTTAATACAAATTACGACATTTACAAATGTGCAGGTATTTATCACTGTTTTATGTCGCAGAACAATATTCTTACCGCTAACATACTTTTTTGAATCCAACATGGCGGCATCTCATGTTTAAACTTCCATACATTATTACTTATAGTTTCACTAATGAGTGAACAACTGTCTCCATGAAGATCATGTATCAACGACAACATTGAGTGTGTACTAATTTGAGGTTCGGTCTCCCCATTGCCTTGTCATTTCAGTTTCAATTACACCACTCGAATGGTCAACAGAGACTCCTGGGCGTTCCGAATACTTCATATTCCAGACTTTTGATTT